TTTGCTATGAGAAATATGAAATAATGGCAAGGAAATGAAGATGGCGATCAGCTTCTTTTAAGAGATGATGAAGAGGAAGAGAGAATTTTATGGAGAAATTCATGTGTTATGAAGTATATTATGTATATTATTAACGGTTGTTGGACTAACGTATGACCGATGAACGGTCAGCGGGGAACCTAGGGCACCGAATTTGTCTCCCAAACGCCAATCCATGGCAACAAATTAACAATTTTATTTAAGCTGAATGAGGCTATTAGGACATCCAAGATCTAAAATAGGGTAAAGAACACAAATGGTCCCCAATTATAAGGTACTGCTTTATTAAGTCACTCGACCATTAAAAGTTACAAAATGATCATTTGACTATAGAGTGCTATTTTTTGAGTCATTCGACTATTAAAAGTTATAAAATGGCCACCCTACTATTCATTATGTTCTAAACTCGTCTTTTTATGTTAAAAATTAATGATATTTTGAGATGAACGTTAACTTGATGATTGTGATATGATAAAATTTGATCCCAAAATCTCAAACGACTATCATATCCCAATCATCATGTTGACATCCAACTTAAATAATCGCCAATTTTTAAACATAAAAAGGACGACTCTAGAACATAATGAATAGTCGGGTGACCATTTTGTAACTTTTATGATCGAGGGACTCAACAAAGCAACACTCCATAGTCGAAGGACAAAGTTGTAACTTTCAATAGTCGATGAACTTAATAAAACAGTGCCCTATAGTCGGGGGATGATTTGTGTTATTTACCCTATAAAATGATGGATACATTTTTATGTTCATATTTAAATTTTTTATCGTAACTTTTTAATAATATCAAAGATTCAATCTCAATTTCTTATTAGAAGTATAATGCATATTATCATTATTCTCGACACAAGTTAATAAAATGCTTATGCACCAACAACCGGTTGATCTAGTGGAATGAGGCACTAGGTCCCTTACGCAAGGTCTGGGAGTTTGAATTCTGGTGTTTTCGAATGGAGCAAATTGGGTTGAGAGGATCGCCCTCGCCTTTGCAGTACCCGATCTGGATTAGTCGATCAATAAATCAGATATCAATGATCAATTAAAAAAAGGCTTATGCATATTTATGAATAGTTCAGGATTTTTCAGCCTTTTGATAGTACATAGGTCCTTCATTTGTTTACTCAGCTCATCAGCTCCCACCATAATTGTTGCAACTTTTGTTCTTGAAAAACTTGACAGTCTTATTGAATTGATGATCAAGGTGTCTTACGGGAAACAAGCTCAAGCACGTCTCTTTCTTTATTTGACCTACACAATTTATCGTCCCGAAAGAAAAACGAGCCAACGTAGATATTATGGCAACTGCAAGTCGCCGACGGGCTTGGCCTGCGATCCGACAGGTAACGTGATCACTGAATAAATCTAAACCAGGAGTAGGGAGCCTTTGTCTCTATAATGTGGGGAAAGGAATTGCAACAGCTCACCATGCTTCCATTATAAAGTTGGATGTGAAGGAGTCAACAGCTTATGGTGCATGTCTACGGCTTAAAGCAGGGAGGGGTTAAATCAAATCATTCAGTCATTGCATGATCGATGGTTCTTCTTAGCCTTTTGTGAAGGTCACCGACTATGTTTGCATCATTATTTATGGAGGAAAGAAGTATTAATGTCACCCTAACGATAAGTTAATCTAGTGAGATAAGATGTTAGATTTTTTAGGTAAGGTTAGAAATTCGAATTCTAACGTTTACAAATGGAGTAAACTGGTTTGGAGGGTCACCCCATAATGAGTCTATATATAAAACTTCGTACTCGAACGTGAACCTCTACATATAACAATCATCCATTCAATCACATAAACCGTTTGATTCGTGTTGATTTAGTTGCTAGAATATCACATCATCACATGCATTAATTTTACAAAATTCATATGTTAAACTAAAAGCAAAAACATCAAATCAGAGCAGAGCAGATATTAAAATCGAGTCATTATTTATATGATCATTGTGTGACTACACGAGGGAGGATGGGACATTGCTAAATTTGGCATTTGTGGCAAGATACAACTATCTCTGTTTGAATTAATTGGTTAATCTGTGTTGGTTTCGAGGATGCAACAGTGTTGCATATTTTCTATGTTTAAATAATTAAGGCTCGGACGAAGCTCTCCCCCAATTATTGTCATTCCTAGTTTTATATGATTTAGAAAGTTCTATTGTGATAGAACACAATAATTAATGCCCGTCCAGTTCGGTTGGTAGAACACAAGGCTCTTAATCTTGTGGTCGTGGGATCGAGTCCTACGGAGGACATTTCATAATCCAGACGTCTCTCAAGGAAGCTGCTCTCAACCTAACGTTGGGGGCAGCATACTATCATGCCTCCCCCTTATCCCATTACATATGAGAAAAAGGGTCATCTAATTATTATGATATAAATTTATTCTAAATATCATTAAACTTTAGTAGAGAATAGTTTATATCATTGAATTTTTTAAATAAACATTTTAAACTTCTCAAATATGAAAAAATCCTCAAATTACGAAAAATGATAATTTTTTTGTTTAACTGCATCGATTTTGAGAATATTTGATGAAAAATAATCATAAAAAAATTAGGAAGGAAATGTCAACGTTTTAATATTGATTTTGTCACGAATGACAATTGTGATGGTCGATGATTCACTGCTAACAATGGTCGAAAAAGTACAATGCCTATAACTGGAATGTTTAAAAGTTTAATGATAAAATTAATACATCTTTTAAACTTTACAACTAAAACTACATTGTTTGGGGCATCAATAGCTACAACAAAACGACATTGTTTTGTTCATGTAATTGTGTCGTTTGGATTTTAACGATTTAATAATATGATTAGAGTCAAAATTAAAGTTTGATGTTATAATTAAAATAATTGAAAGTCTAATAATATAAATGATGTATCGCCCAAAATCTAGTGATATCTGGTGTAGTTATTCTTATTATTATAATATTTTTTAACAAAATCTTAATTCAATAAATATAAATATCATTGTTGTTATAATATTTTAGAGGATGTAGAATCATTTAAATTATAATATTATTTAATTTACATATTTGATAGATTATACTTTTTTGTGTGGATAATTCTATTTCATTACCCAAGAAGCAGGAAACTGCTACAAGATACAAAGTCAATAAACAACACTATTAAGCAAAGCCATGACAACAAACATAGCTAACCCAGGTTGCGAAAGAAAAGAAAACAGCAGAACAAGCTCTGCTTAAGCAATTCCCCATTTATCACAAAGAGCAACATTGGTCGATTATGTTATGCTAAAAGCCAAGTTTTGCAGGCGGATTCGAATGATTTGCTTGATGTCATCCATCACATCGTCCTTGGCTCTATTCCTTTTACCAAATAATTTGTTATTCCTTTCCGTCCAAATGTCATACATGTGACTAGTCCAAGCAAGCTTTAGAACCCGTACAATGAGAGACTTGCCTTTAAAAAATCGAACAGCCCAGGCCAGCTCACTGTCCCAACAGCTAACTCCTCGGTTAATGCCACACAATTCAAGGATGGATCCCATAGCTCCTTAGCAAAGTTGCACTAAAAAAATAAGTGTTCTATTGTCTCTACCACAGTGCCACACAACAAGCACTTTGTCAGTTTCAATGGTTAAGCCCATATGCACGAGCCTAACCCGAGTAGGCAGTCTATTTAGCATTGTCATCCATGCTACAATGCTAAATTTGGAAATGCGCCAAGAGAACCAGATCAGGTGGTGCCAGGGTACTTTAGGGGCAATAGCACGCAAATCATCCCAGACTTGCCTCGTGCTCAGATCACAAATTTGACCCGAGAAGAGGTGGGCAACTTCAGGCCTGATTTCTAGTAAGTGTTTGAAATTCCAGCTAGCATTTGTAGGGATTTCCATCTGCCAAAAGTCAGCATTCCTAATTACATAGGAGTACATCCAAGCCACCCAGAGATAACCTTCATTATCAAAAAGCTTTCTAATAAGTTGCACAATACAAAACTTTCCAACACCCAACATCTTGCAACTCCAATCCCCCTTCAGATTTTATGAGACAAATTTTCTTCCAACTAACTCTTACACCTTTAGCAGGCACATCCGACCCCTTCTAAAAGATGTTGGAATATCCTTCTTGAATATACTTAATTTAGATATTATATGATTTTTTTTTTCGTTTTGGAATTTTACTTCTCACGAGATAATGAGAAAAAATATATTATATAATTCAAGGTATATGCTTACTTGAATATCCTTCTTAATTTATACATAAGTATAAAAATAAATTCAAAGAATCGTTTATATACTAAATTTATATAACACTCAACTTAAGTTAATCGATTAATAGATCAAATATTAATGTTTATGAAATTTAAATATAATTTTTATTTTTAAAATCTAATATAATTCATAAATAGGGATGAGCGTTCGATCGAGTCGAGTTAAAAAAATTCGAGTTATTCGAGTTGACGAGTCATATTTTACAACTCATACTTGATTTGAATTTTTTTCGAGTTAAGTCGAGTCGAATCGAGTCAATTGAATTTCTGTTTAAATTTAATTATAAATATTTATAATATTATAATATTATTTGATTACTATTTAAGTAACTTTCTATAACCATATATGCAATATAAATATATTTCTTCCCATTTTTTTCATACATCATACAAAGTCTAAGGAATTGACTCAAACTTGAAAATAAATCTATTAATTACTAATTTTTTTGAGTTATTTGAGTTGCATTTTTCAGCTCGATTTGAATTTGAAATTTTTTTCAAGTCGAGTTGAGTTTATGAAATTACAACTCAAAATCAATTAAATTCAATTTTTTTCGAATCGAATCAAGTTAAAAATCTTAATTTTTCGAATCGAATTCTGCTGACTCTTATTTATAAATATTTTAAAAAAAATCAAACCGATAACTTCTTTATTACCTTCCGAAAAAAGAATCCCCGTTTTGCCCGGCAAACTCTTACCGGCCAACCAACCAAACCCCAGAAAAAAAGAAATATACAAAATAAATAAATAAACAAATAAAACCTCAGATATTTATATCTCAAACTAACTGATGGAATCGAACTACCAAAAACTGCGATCCAAAACCGATTCTCTCCCTTTCCTCCTCCTTTCTATTCCTCGATAACCACAAGCACAAGCACACGCGCACCCGATTGTTTAACAACGCCGTCGTCGCTTAGTACTAAATCGACGACGTTTATGGAGAGAGGATGAGGCATAATCGACGGCCACGATTGCCGGCATCCATATTATCGTCATCATTACCACTTTCGACATGTCGGTGAACTGTTCCGATCGTTTCAGCGACTTACTCTGCGGTGAGGACTCAGACGAGGTATTCTCCGGCGAATCATCGGCACTTTCGTCTGAGCTTGACTCTCTGGCGTTGTGCCTCGAGGAATCCTCTATCGCCGGCTTTATCGAACACGAAAGAAACTTCGTTCCCGGATGCGATTACTTGGCTCGGTTTCAGTCTCAGTCTCTCGACGCATCGGCTCGAGAAGAAGCAGTTGCATGGATTCTGAAGGTGAACTGACTAAAACTGTACCTCAGTACTTTGACTATCTTTGTTCATTGAATATTACGAAAATACAGCTAGCGCAAGTTAGCAGAATTTTCACTGTTTCGCTAAAAAGCACTCTGTATGCTAGGCGTTCAAAACCGAAGTAAAGAGATCTAATAAAAGCCGTTCGATGGACGGAGATGAATCATCGATTGGCGGCTCCAACTTTACAACTTTTTCCATTTCACCTTTTTTTCCCCAATCAATAATGCTTTTAAAATTATCTTTTTGTTTGTTTGCAGGTACAAGCATTCTATAATTTCCAGCCTTTGACGGCGTATCTTTCCGTCAACTACCTGGATCGGTTTTTATATTCTCGACGCTTGCCGGTGAGTTTTCTTTTTTCCCGTCACTGATTAGTAAATTAATAATCATTATCTGGATAATGATAATTTGAGTAATTAAAACTCTGACTCTTCAGTGCAATTATGTTTCACTTTTCAAGGTCGATAAAACATTTGAAAAAGACTTGAGTATCAAATAAATAATTAAGAATAGCTAGACTTTTTTGTTTGTTTGTTTGTTTGTTGAATCTAACAGTGGCTTGCCTTTGCATTTACTACAATAGGAGACTTTTACTGAAGCGTAATTATTGACCTTTCCTTAAAGACTTTTGTAGTAGTAATATTTTTCTTTATGATGGCATGTATATATGTACTTTCATTAAAGTTATACTGGAATATAATAATATTATTCTTGTTTCTTTGACCGGCAGTTGGTGTGTGTATTGTTAATGAACTCAGTAAATGTGCATATAATTCACCCTAGTTATTCATTATTGTTTTATTATTGACGTTATGATGAGCTGTGCTGATTAACAACGAGATGCCTTTTTTTTTCAACACTTTTCAGCTAACTAGTGGGTGGCCATGGCAACTTTTAGCTGTTGCTTGCATATCTTTAGCGGCCAAGATGGAGGAACCTCTTGTTCCATCTCTTTTAGATCTTCAGGTATATTTCTTTTTGTTAAAACTTTTTCAGGGTTGTCTTTTTTTTTGTTTTATAAATTCCATTGAATGATCATTAATTAGTTTGCTCTTTATGCAGGTGGAGGGTGCCAAATATATTTTTGAACCCAAAACAATTCGCAGAATGGAACTGCTTGTTCTCACGGTTCTGGACTGGAGGCTACGATCAGTAACGCCGTTAAGTTTCATTGATTTTTTTGCTTGTAAGGTCGATCCATCAGGAACATTTTTGGGGTTTCTGATTTCAAAGGCAACGGACATCATCTTGTCCAATATCAAAGGTCTAGTTATTTCATTTTTCATATATCCATAATGAACGAATAAAAAGAAACTTGTTTGCTAATTGTGAACAGAGGCCAGCTTTCTTGAGTATTGGCCGTCAAGCATTGCTGCTGCAGCGGTCCTTTGTGCTGCCAATGACATCCCAAACTTGTCCCTCGTTAATCCTGAACATGCCGAGTTATGGTGTAATGGACTAAGCAGAGTAAGCTCAATGCTCAACTAATGTGTAATTAAATGTCGTAATTCTCTCAGTTTAACAAAGAAACGTTTTGTATTCCAACTTGGACAAATATCCATTTGTTTTTGCAGGAAAAAATCCATAGCTGCTACCGGTTAATGCAGGAACTGATAGTTGACAATGGTAGGAGGAAACCGCCAAAAATCGTAACGATCAGGCCAAGAACAAGGTCCAGTGACTCATCACTTTCATCTTCCTCGTCACCTTCTTATAAAAGGAGGAAATTAAATAATTGCTTGTGGGTAGATGATGACAAAGGAAGCTCCGAGTAAGGGGGGTGTGGGGAGTTGGGGAAATTATAAAAGATTAAAAACGGTGGTCCAAGATGTCTAGAAAACCTCAATATTTTTTTTGGAGGGTTTTGTGAGTAAATTGACCGGAATGATAATATTAGATTATCTAGTTTTATTAATGTATGTGTGGAATGAGGTTTGGCGAGTTTGCATTTTCCCAAGGGAGTGGGAATTTGTTAAATAATAACAATAATGGTTAGTTGTGTGAGAAATTAGGGGAAAAGAGAGATAGAGAGGGCCATGTTTGGGATTGAGGAGGTTTGAAATAAGGAAGGGATGGACTTGAATTGCAAAGCCTACATCGATTATTGAATGAAAGAGAGAGATGGCCGACGGGTCCACCCGGGACAGGGCAGGTTAGGCCGGGTTAGGGATTGAACGGTTCATCAGAAAAGTCAAGCAAAGCTTCCCCCATCTAAGGCCATCGGTATCGTTTTACTTCAACATCCGCCTGTTTTTTTTTTCTATTTCGGTTTCGCAACGCACAGCTACATGGAGGAGGAGGAATAAATATTTTGTTTGTTGGATTTCTTTGAGTGGTTTTCGTGTGTACACTCCTATTTGGTATGTGTGACGCACGCGTGTCCGAGCACTGGGCTTTTCGTCCGGTGGTGATCGTGTGCGTGATGTAACACGTGTGAATAGCTCTTATTTTTTTCATTTTTTTAAAAAAATTCCAAATAGAAGAAAGAAAGAACCCTCTTTCATGGCCATTGTTTGGCCGAACACATGAGAAGAAAGGTCTTTGGGGCCTTTTTTCAAGCGTGTTGTATGCGTTTGATTCGTGGATGAAAATAACAATAATCAAATCATTTGCTTATATGTAAAATGTAATTATTTATTTTCATATTGTTTTCTTTCTGCGTCAGTACGTGATTGACAATACATTCCTAACTGTATCCCGATGAAGAAAATGAATGCATTTCAGTGGAATTTTGTGGTGGCAACGCTGAGTGAAGGGACTAGGACTCGGCCCCGCAGCCAATAAAGTCGGTTCATCTATGAACATCATCCCCTTAATAGTTGGCTATCGTGACAGCCACATGGTTGCCTGGCTGGTTTCCTCCCTTCCTTCTTTAAGTGTCTCCCAACTGCCAATAGAATCATAGTTTAATTGATACTTATTGATAAGAATAAAATGATTTATGATTATTATTAATGTGGTTATTATTAATTTTTGGTTTAGATGGGAGTCGTAGTTAGTGGTTGAATGGTTAGTCGGTATCTATGTTTTGCGTCTTCATAAAGAGGAGTATAAAAGTGAATATGAGATGATTTTATAGTGAACCATAATACAAGTTTCACGTGTAGGATTACGATAACTACTTACAGATAAATGTAAATTTGATCTGATAGTCTGTTAAAAATCATATCAAGAGATCTTAACTTTTCGAAAGATGTTTGATACTAGAAATTCTTTCAAGAGATATTCTCTTCATATCATCGAGTTATAGATAATAAAGTATCTAAAGTTAATATAAGTTTTATATTAAAAGAGCTTCCAACTCTTAACTGTTAAAACTTATTTAAATGGGTGATAAAAGGAGACCAATACATGGAAGTGGGGGTAGAGTGAGATGGACATTGTTTATAAAAGCCAAGGCGTGAAAATCAATCCCCTTTTTTCATCTGCGAATATTGAATTGCAATTGCACATGATGGCAGTTCTCTTGTGACATTACAAACAGAAAATGTCCATTCAAGTTGTCATTTAGCCCTTGATCCCCGACATAGGTTATATATAACACCGTCTTTTGCCTTGCATGAGATAATAGAATGGCCCTTTACCAAAAGGTAACCATGCATTTTAGCTAGGGCAAACTAAACTAATGGCCATGCAAATTGCAAACCTTATCACTCAAAAAAGAAAAAGAAAAAAGGTTTGTGTGCCCAGTTTCCTCCATGGGTCACAGTGACAGAAGATCTGGTACTAGGTGACAATTCTTCACCAGTACAGTTTTATCCTACTCTCTTGGATCTACTCTCATTTAACTTGGGGAATATATATATATATATATATATATATATATATATATATTATTTTCCATTAATAGAGGAAACTTTGATGTTGAAATAAAATAATTAAAATTGAACTGGAATAAATTAAGTCGGGAATCTTCGAATAAAATCCTGTGTTTCCGCCATCGGTGGAAGCTAAGTGGGAGACGTGGATTTGGACTTTTATCAAGATATATGTTAAAACTAAATGCATCCAATCAATCAATAAAAAGATAATCAGATTAGACGTTAAATTGTAATTTGATTTTACATAATGTCAAAAATAGAAATTAGCCATTAAAATTTAGGTTAAACTACATTTAGTATCTAAACTATCAATTTTGATTCGTTTTAGTATCTAAATTTTCAATTTTTTTAAAATCATACATAACGTTTAGTTTTTGTTTCATTTTAGTATCTTACCATTAAAAACTTAACGTGTTTAGCTCCTAAACTATCAGTTTTGCTCCTTTTAGTACCTAAACTTTTTTAAAAAAATTCAAAAATTGATGTTAAATTTTGAACATGTACTAAAATGAAACAAAAGCTTTAGCTATGATTTTGAAAAATGGAAATTTAAGTATCAAATTGGATCAAAACTGATACTTTAGGCACTAAACGTGTAATTTACACTAAATTATTTGGTTTATGATGTGATTTTCAGTACATGTACAGGTGTTGGATTAATCTACAGCTTTATATTTTCGACAATTGTTAGAATGAAATGGCGTAATTATTAGCCAAGAAAATTTGTAGTTTTTAAATATATTTTAGCTAAAAGGGTCGAAAGGTTATGCATCTCTTCTTTTATCTTTGAACTGAAAAAACACAAATGCCCACTCCTTTTTTTTTTTATTTTATCTAAGAACATGATGCTTTAAAGTGGGGGAATCCTAAGTTCAGCCCTAAAAGCCAAAATTTCTTTTGCACTACTCCAGAATCTGGCCAATTATTTTACCAACCTTTTCTTTATATTCTTCTCATTTTTTGGTATAATCGTAACTATACGATTCATTGATCGACTGATTTGGAACATGTACTATAGACGTACATTACAAAGATTACTCTCTCAACTCAAACTACTTCATTCACAACACCATAAATCGAACCATGAAATTTGTTTAAGGTATATAATGTCTCATATCTCCTCCATAGCAATTTGGACTTTATATGATGGCAATGACAAAATTGGAGACCCCTTTTGAAATGATGACTTTTCTCTTTAGCCATTGGCCCCAAATCAAAGCTAGAATGATATGTTGAGGATTTTAATGGTGATCTGAATACTAAGACATACATTTGCCATTTTCATCCACTCCATTGGCCACTTTAAACCAAAGGAAAATGTCCCCATCAAACCTTTCACAGTTGCTTAACTAAACAAAGTAAAAGCGGTCTGTTTTTTTTTTTTTTGGTCAGAGGTCAAGAAGCGGGGTGAATATTGAAGTATTGGTATGGTTTGGCTGCGCCTCAAGTGGTTTTGCAGTTGTGTTTGTTGAGATTTCAGTTTGTCTAACTGAATTTGTTTTTTGCCTGTTACCTCAAGTTGGGCCAAACTCTTATGTTGGTTTAGAGAGGCATTTGGGCTATATAAATTGAACAAGAGTAAGGGAGCGAGACCAAGTGTCTTGATGCCCACATTCACTGCTTCTAATTGTTTTTCACGTTTCTTTTATTGTGTTTTACAAGTACCATCAAGTGTCTTGGATGGTTCTGTGGTCGTTCCTTCACATACGATTCTTGATGAAAATGGTGAACTGGTGGTCAATCCTTCCTACCGACAGTTCAAGAAGCAAGATAACTCTTTTGCGTCGTGGTTATTGTCTACCATCAGTCCATTGATCTTGCCGCAGTTGGTGGGTGCTCAAACTTCATCGGATATATGGGGTACGGTCATGAAACTTTATTCAAAGCTCACTACTACCAAGGTCACGAGTCTTCATGGTAGGCTTCGTTCTCTTTGAAAAGGGGATCTGTCGATTCGTGAGTATGCTACACAGATCAAGGAGATTTGTGACCTATTGGCTACGAGTAGATCTTCAGTCTCAGAGGTTTAGCAAATAATCACTTTGCTTAATGGCTTATCGTATGAGTTTGAATCGTTTGTTGCTGCGATAACTGTCAATCGTGAATCGTATACGTTTGACATAGTTACTTCAGTTCTCATATATGCTGAAGCTCGTGTTCAGGGTCTAGCCAAGTTGCCAGTCGGTATCAATCTGGCCAGACATGACCGTGATAAAGGTTTTGGCGGTTATCGGTCTAGGAGTGAAGTGCTCAGAGTGGTAACAACCGTGGTAACGATCCATGTGGTGGTGAGTATAAAGGAAGACCACGACACCAGTGTTAACTCTGTGGTAAACTTGGTCATCTAGTTGATCGCTGTAGATATAGGTTTGATAAGGATTTTAAAGGTGTTGGACCAGCTCGCTCAAAATCTGATAAGGATATGGAGGTTAATGTTTGTAAATTTACTACTGGTGACACTGACAATTATTACAATTCTTTTTTTAGTACGTCAACGGGATCGGAGGTTTCGGCTGGGGATGATTCACATGACACAGCTCATATAAATTCTCTGGATGCTAAGGGAGTTCTTTCAGTCTAGGATAGGCATTCGACGTAAAATCGTATAATTATATGATCGGTACGAACAACACCATCACTTTTAAACATCAGGACTTTCTTTTTGTATGTAAATTTTCAGACATGCATACACATGTATGTATATAATATACCTATGAAGTTGATGTTTATGTAGATACTTTTGGTCTGACAAGTCGCACATGATGCAAAGGAAGGTGCCAAAATATCCAATTATCTCAAATGCAGTCCAACTCAAAATCCCACCTCGGAAAATATTTTTCCAACTTAACGACAAAGGGAAAAAGAAAGGGGTGGGCATGCAGGGGCAGTAGTGATGAATCCAAAGCAGTGGTGAGAACAAATGTACATAATATTTATCTTTCCACTTCAACTGTTGAATCTTGATCCGTTGCTATTTGGAAAAATGGA